CTTCCTTCCTTTTATCCTCTGACTGTGCTCCCCTATTTCTGTTTATTTTTTAGACAGGGCCTCCCTAAGGTGCTGAAACTGACCTCTAACTTGTGATTCTCCTGCTGGAGACTCCTAAGGCACTGGCATTACAGACATGTGCCACTGTGCCTGCTCCTCCCCTGTGTTTCTGTCTTCCTAGGTGGTACCTTGGGTTGGTGGGTTTTGAGATCTTAAATGTGACTTTTTTCTTGCTATCACCCACAGACTGGCATCAATATGATGACATAATTTGCATGAAGCCTCCCGGGACCTTCCAGAAACTTCAGAACCTCTTCACTAATAAGATGAAGAAGGAGCTGGTGAAGGGGAAGATGATAGCAGCTGAGATCATGCTGGGCCGCATCTTCAGCAACCTCCAGACCTGGAACCTCGTCAACCTGCAGAACTTCTTCACCCAGTTCCGGCAGTTTTACTCTGTTGTCCGAGTGCCTATGATTTATGAAGGGAAAGCACAGCCCTGGCACAGCCTGGGCCTCGAAGAGGAGGAGGTACCAGGCTTCCCCCGGTTACCAGCAGCTCTGGTGTGGGTGGGCAGGTCCCCTGACCTACTACTGGTAATGAGACCCTGTGACTGACTGGGGCAGCTGCAGAGGGGCAGGAGGACCTTTCCATCCCTTCTTTTCCTGCTCCACCTCTTGGGAATTCCTCTCCCCCAGTCCCTCCTCCTGATTGCACCTCTGAGCCTCACTCCTAGCACTGATCTTGAGTTCTTTCAAGGCCTAGGCAGAGTTGAAAGAAAGGGTGGAGTCCATCATTGCCCCTTCAGCCACACTGTGGCTTGGAGACAGAGCTGGTGCTCTCTCTGAGTTCATCATTGAGCTCTCAAAGAGCATCCAGGGGTCTCCCAGACCCACCTCACTGCAGGGTTCGGGACTGATCATCCATGTGCTTCTGTTGTCCCAGAACCTCAGTGTACCTGGGAGTTGGGGAGGCGAGGGAGGTGGGACCCTCCCCAGAACTCCCCTGCCTCAGGGCCTTGATCCCCTGCCCGAGGGTTCTCCAGCCTYCAGGGCATGCACTCCATGGCTGTGCCTCTTCTTTCCCCTGCATCAGGTGAAGGAACACCTGTGGGAGTRTTTGAAAAAACAGATTGAACCGTTTCTGGAAGGAAAGAGTGGGGATGCCCTGCCTGAAGGCTGGCCTGTGAGGAGCAGACTGAGGACGGGCCTGGTCCTCCTTTTCCTGGTGGAAAATGCCAGATTCTGCTTGTCAGAAGGTGACTTGACCTCACTGTGCTCCATCCTCTGCCCTAGCACCTGCTCTCCAGATGTCCTACACAGTGAACTCCACCACATCCTGGGCACATCTGAGAGGTATCCTAGTGGTTCCTTTTGTTTCTTGGTTAGAAGTTTYGTAGCCATTTATCATGATTTTTATCTGGTTATAGAGATAAGTGCTTGTTAGAGAAAGTCTGAGCACACACCGGGGAAAAATAAAACCACAGTCATGTCACCACTTGCTCTTGTCACTTTCGTGGCATGTGTGTCATTGCTAGTTTTGTTAAATTCTGTGTTCTCCTGAATACCCTGGCTTCAAAAAGCTTCAAAGGGCCAGGAACCATGGCGGCACTGTCATCCCAGCTACTTGGGAGGCTGAGGCAGGAGGGTTGCTTGAGCCCAAGAGCTTACGGCCAGCCTGGGCAACTTGGTGGAACCCCATCTGGAAAAAATAAATGAGTGATATAAAGTACATGACAGAGTGCTCCTGGGGGCCCCTCCTCTGCCCACTCAGCACGCCTTAGCACTGGGGCCCAGGCCTGCCTGCAGGTGTCACCAGGACAGCTGCAGGACCCACAGGGATGCTGTCCCTGCTGCTCCACCTGTGCTGGTAGCTCTGGAAGCACACTGCCCCTGCTGGTCAGCCATGGCCTTTCATGTGGTTGCAGAGACTCAGAGGATCAGGGTCTCTTCTGCTTCTGTTTGGATTGAGCTTGGGTAACATCCGGTCGCCTTTTCTGAGCTCTTAGCACCTGTGGGTTTCCTAAGTTTTAAAGACCCAGGTAGTTGCTGTGCCCTCTGTGAAAGGGTGACAGTGGTTAGGAAATCTCCAAACAGCTGTGCGGGGGTGTGAGAGAAGGAAGAAGCATCTATTTCTGTACCTGTGGGACACACACCATGTGTTGTTCCTTTTAAAAAGTGGCTTTGTAGCTGGGCACAGTGGCACATGCCTGTAATCCCACAGACTCAGGAGGTTGAGACAGGAGGATCACAAGTTCAAGGATAGTCTCAGCAACTTAGGGAGGCCATGTCTCAAAATAAAAAAGGTTGGGGATGTAGCTTAGTGGTAGAGTGTCCCTGGGTTCAAATTTTTTTTAAAGTTTGCTTTGTGTTTAGGTCCATCATYGCCAGACTACCTGGTTCAAATCCTAGGCCCTGTGTGAATTTCTTGGCTGGAAACCGAGGGCCCCAATTCCTCAGCTGTGTGGTGTGGGTGGATATGACCCCAGTGGGAGTCTGTTGGGATTCATGATGTCTTGGTGCACTGGGATCAATCCCAGTGCAGTGCCAGGTCTCTTTTCCCTCTTGTCTCCCTGTGTTTCCTGGTCTGGGACTTGGTCTAGGTGTGCCACACCTTGGAATAATGATTCTGCTGGATGTAAGTAGCTTTCCTTTCCCTCCTGGGACATCAGACCACAGAGCAGGTCAGATACAGCCAACCACAACTCACATTAGGTCTTGGTTCCCTTCCAGATGGCAAGAGTACTTGGTCAACCTGTGCCAAATGTGCATAGACGCAAGAGTCGTCGACTGGCTGGGCATCCTCCCTGTCCTGCACTACTGTATGCAGCTGGCCCCTCCAAAAAAGGACTTTGTGAGCCAGCCTGAGGACATCTGGGCTGGCCTCAATGGAATCTCCTTGTTTATGTTTCAGGAAAATTGGCTAAATGAGTAAGTTGTAAAACTGCATTTATATAAGTGCATCTTGGAATAATGATTCTTTAGCACTTTGCCACTTTGAGCTACATCCCCAGTCCTTTCTTAAATTTTCAATTTTTGAGACAGGTCTTGCTAAGTTGCCTGGCCTGGCCTGAACTTGTGATCCTCCTGTCTCTGTATCAACTGGGATCACAGGAATGGCCACTGCGCTGGGCAGTCTTTTCTCGTATAACTGTATTAATGTATGTTTACTCACCTCTGTGTGTCCCAGGACACAACCCCCAGTACTGCAAACCTTAGTTCATGGCCTCTGACCTTGGCCTTTTGGCTGGCGTTGGGGGTGGTGAGTGCATTTTTGGTAGAGCTTCGAGCAAGATCCTCCTTTTGCTGGCCATAAGGCTCAGGCCAGAGAACTGCCTGGGAGAAGCAGAGGACTTCCACAGTCTGCTCTCTGATGGTGAGAGTGGTGCGCTGCCCCGTGGGTGGGAAGCTCAGGCCTCATAGAGTGTGGAAGTCTTGGTGGGTAAGAGTACAGAGACAATGACCATGGGCTCACTGGGCCCTGCACTGTGTACAAGACAGTGGCCATCCAGYGGGGAGAGGGACTGAAAATTGGAAAAGTCACTGTTCCCAAGACGTGGATGCATAGAGCTTGCTGAAGTCTGAAGAGGGAGATAGGAGCCAGTTGCTATGGATGCTCAGATTCTGGCTTCTGCCAGGGGTACTGTGGCCCTGTGGTCAAAGGATGGAAAGTTTCCATGAACTGAGTCTCACTAAAGCTACAGCAAAGCCCTGGCTCCTCTCCCTCATAACTCCTGACCTGAGAAGAAGCTGCTGCCCAGGGAGGAATTAGGGTGTGAAACACTTAGACGGCCCAGGTGGGGGGATTCAGGGAGGGTGTTGGAACAACCACCAGGGGTCTGGGATTATGGCTCCGCTGTAGAGCACTCGCCTAGCACATGTGAGGCCCTGGGTTTGATCCTCAGCATCACATAAAAATAAATAAATAAAATAAAGGTATTGGGTCTAACTACAACTAAAAAATAAATATATAAATATTTTTAAAAAGAACAACTGTGAGGAGTATTGAAGGGGACCTTCAGAAAGAGTGGACAATCTGTCACAAACAGATGGGGAATTTCAGAAGATTAGTGGAAACCATAGGTACTAAGAAAATAGCTGAGTGGGAAGGCCACAGACAACACCTGGAGTGG